GGCTAAAATGGATTCGTCTACATAGTTGTTTTCTACATGAAATTCGATGAAGAAATAGTACTAGGTTAAATTTCTGTTTACTCATCAATCAGTACATACTACCATGTAGCTAATTAGACTCTATCCCGTCTATTTAAATTATTTGAGTCTGCTCAAATATGCCAGGCTACGGCTGTTATTTTTTGCCTATGAGAACCAAAAGTCTTGAAGTATTTCATTACATCCAAGTTCAATTATGTGTCATGTTTCCACAACATTTAACTCTGTCACCGATTTATTTTCACGTTTCCTTAAAATCTAGGAATATGCTTCGAACATAGTTTTCCCTCCTTCATCCTCACATTTAACTGTTACAAAGCCTTATCTACAGTATACAGCACTGTACTTAGTGTGTTTGGTTTCACTGACACACTTCTGTTTTCTTAGTACTGTGTCTTTGACCGCTATGAACATAGAACTAAGAGTATCTATTGTACGTTCGGAAAAATGCTCTGTTATTAATGTTAGGTTTAGGATCCTTCTAAGTTGTTTCAAAGCTCTTTTGTGGTAATATGAGGTAATTACTACGTTAATCCATTCTTTTGTTTGGTCTTTTTTTCTCAGTCTCTCCAAGAAACATTTTGATGGACTCTGTGTAGAAATCAAAGTAAATAAATACCGAGCTAAATTGAACAACAATAACCTTCATTCTAGTTCAGTAATTCCTCAAAACCTTCAACCATTCTACATTTTACGGGTGACCGAAAATCCATCATAATATATTTTTTTGAAAGCACTTTCTAACGGTTGTCAAAGTTTACATAATTCAGCTGAAAAGCTTATCTGCGAATATAGTAATTTTCAGTTTTCATTCACTATAATATTTAAAAAAGATAAAGTATCCTTTGATTGTGAAAATTACAGCAGATTTCGTAGTTCATATTACACTTACTAAAATCGCCTCATTATGTATAACTGAAACTTTGAGCAAAGATATTTACGTGATAATTTGCATATCTGAACTAACTTTAATTACACACACATTGCCGATTTTTTAAATATTTGTGAAATAGTTGTAGTTAATGTTTTGATGCCATAAAATTTTAATTATCAAGAAGTCATATGATCACAGTGTATTTTTTCATAATTATTCTTTCATTATAAGCGGTGCAATTCTCTAGGGAATATATTTAGCAATACTTTCTTGTCTAGTTGCTCATTAATTTTGCACATTAAGTAATACTGTCTACTTAAGTTTTAATAAACAGCCAATAAATATTGGGGGAATTTCAATTGTTGAAATCATGAGTCAGTTGAAGCTAGACTACCATGGAAAACTTGGAAGCACTGGACGGCCGTTTCGTCCTAGTATGGGGCTCCTCAGCAGTGCGCACCCACGATCCCGCCCCCCGCGGGATTCGAACCCATTGTTCAATAACTGTGATCATTGATTGGAGAGATTGAGTGACATGACCAAAGAATCAGTCATACTTATGATCAAAATGCATTCATTTTTCACCCTCCTCTTGCTGATGACTTACAGTATTCCATTACGCATGTCTTTACGTTTCATTTCATTCTCAAACTATATTTTTAATGTTTAATCTTCCTTAGTATCATTGCTACTACAATTGTATCAACGCGTGTTGTACTTAGTGTGCTAATTTCATTTCGAGTCTACTGATAGTACTTACTTACACCTGTTACCCCTCGTGGGGGGCATTCTCCACGGAACTCTGTCCTGGGCAACCTTTTTCAGTCGGTATTCATCATTCTGATGTCTGCTTCCGATTCTCGACGCAGTGTATCCTTTGACCTTCCATCTTTATGTTCCCCTTCAAGATTCCAAGTTAGGGCTTGCCTCTTGATACAGTTTGGTAATTTCCTATCCATTCCTAACGTCTTTTTCTAATTTCCTCTTCAGTTGGAAGCTGGTTTGTTCCCTCACATAGTAGGCTGTTGCTGACAGCATGCGATCAACGGACATTGAGTATCTTGCGTAGATAACTGCTTATAAATACTTGTGCGTTTTTGATGATGGTTATGATAGTTCTCCAAGTTTCAGCTCTGTGCAATGGAACTGTCTCCACGTTCGCATCGAAGATTGTGACTTTGATATTGGTTGGCAATTGTTTAGAGTCCCGTGTGTTCTTCAACTGTAGGAGTGCTGTCCTTGTTTTGACAACCATTGTCCTTATATATGCATCGGATCCTCCCTGTTCATTGATGATGCTACCCAGATACGTGAAACATTCCACCTCTTTCAGAATTTCTCTATCATGTGGGCTTGGGTTGGCGTTCTCCGTGTTGTGTTTGAAGATCTTGCTTTTTCCTTTGTGTATGTTGAGGCTTACTGGTACAGAGGATTCCGCCACATTGGCTGTCTTGTGCATTTGCTTGTGCGTTTGTTATGGAAGGTCTAGAATGATGTTGACGATTGTCTCAGGTACACTATGGTGTCGAAGAAAGTTCCATAAGGTTCTCCTTTTACTGATATAGGTAATGTTTATCTCAGTTGACATTCAAACTAAATGTGAATGATATTGTTGATTTTTTTAAGAAAAGGCAATATATTACTCGGTCATTTTCAAAAAACCAATAATACAGTTCGATCATTTTATTTTTCAATCAATGAAGTTATTATTTATTCGGATGCATAAATATTGGTAAAAAGGGCCACTGAATACATATGCACCACCCAAGTTACTTGATTTGTGTATGGGCTGTGATACTGCCCGGGTGCCCTGATCGAAGCAGATGGCTTCCTTAGAGGGCCACACCCGGAGCCTTCGACTTAAAGATCTGGTCCACAAAGTACTGGAGCAACGTCAGGAGATGCAGTCCCATGTTAGCTGGTGACCGATAATTGTTTCATACACCATTTATTCATAAAAACTTTAATTCATTCTCGGTTTATTTCAATTTGTTATCGAAATGAAACAACAAAGCAATATAACAATGCATAAGTTTCACTTCAGCTTCAATGCAAGTTGACATTTCAAGTAAAAAAAAAAACTTATGTAATTTGTATAGTTTAATTTTTACTTAAAATTAGACTGTAAACTATAGAAGGGAAATTTTATGCGTTGTTCCTTATCGATTTATTTCTGTATTTCATTTTGACAAATGCTCTGAAGTGCTTTTCATTAATTTCAGAATACATTAATGCTTTTTTCTTGTAAACGATATTTACATGTTTTATTATCTACTTTTCCCCCCACTTTTCACACAATCAGTTCACTAAAATAAAAACACGGCTTGTTATTCACTTGAGTTCGAGTTTGTTACAGGAAATTCAGACGATTTTTGTCTACATTCCTTGTTTCTTTTCTGGATAATGAAGTTTGTGTTAACCGGTTGTTATGTATAGCTAATTCAATAATCAATTTTTGACCACAAGATGTATGTAGTGTTTTGTTTCATCTTTTAACATTCGGTTCAAATAATTTTCAAACTGAAAATAGTTCGTGTCTTGGGTTTGACTTTAGATAAATAAGTATTGGAATAGTATCTTTAAAGCATTTCTTATGTATGATAATTACATACTATTGGCAATGTTAAGGTTAGATACACAATACACATATTGTTCTCTCAATATACAACCACAACTTAGATCGTCTAGATGCAATAATTTCATTTTGCATAATCGTTTTTCTTATTTTTTAAAATGCTAGAATAAATTGTATTAAACGAAATCATTTCATCATCACAATTCGTTCATTAAGAGTACTCCAAATAAATAGTTTTATCGTTATTAGATCTATCTTATCAATATTAGTATTGCGACATTAAATAGATAACACAGATTTTTTCAGTTGAGTTTGTTTAATTATTCTGTTTATTATTTGAATACGAAATCAGTTAAATATCACTTAAAATAATACATAAATTGTGGTGTACGCTACTTGTGTCGACAGATATAAGTAGTATATAACACCATTCGGAAGTGAGACGCATGGCAGCAGAAAGCTAAGACAATCGAAGTGAATAAAACAGAAACGGAGTTAGAAAGGAATTGTGAATTGGAAGAATCATACAGAATGTAAAGAATAGTTGATGGAATATTTGTAAATGTAGTATTTTATGTATGGTTCTTTTGTTCTACTGGGATACGCTGTAATTTTGTATTAAAATGCATTTAGTCGTCCCCGCCTTTTTTTCGTTCACTACAAAACCAATTCTTAGAACTATTCATTATTGAACCAATCAGTTATAATCTCGAATCTTACCCCATGTAATTTGCTTTGAACATTATAGTGATACATCTATCTTTTATCCAATATATATGAGTCTAATAAACATATATTTGATTACTCAATGACCTACCATAGTTAGTTCATTTTAAAAATAGTCCTTTGTCGATTAAAGCACTCGGGTAGTGATCTAGTAATTTATATCATAAGTAGTAATTCAATGATAGTTCTTTTATTTACACTCCCCTCTTCATCTACTTCTAGGCGGTCAGAGTATCTTAAGGCGGCCTGCTTGAGCATCTGGACTACCTGTTCCTGCCATCTAGACATTTCAACAAGTTATCTATTTTTGTTTGTTTTAATATATCATTATGTCTATTAATCGCATAAGCTATCCTGGTGCATTTCTGAAAAGTGTACAACCTTTCGTTGTCAAAGTTAGAAAAGCCCAATAAGAGATAATGTGGTCACTGGCAATATGCAGATAAAAGAATATACATTATTCAGATGTTCATTTACTGGACTGCTAACATCTAACTGGCGATCACTCAATATTTATCGTCAGGATCGACCAAGAAGTATGAAACGGAAACTTGTTGAAATACTTTGTGCTGAGAATCCTATATTGTACCAATAATATAATATTGAATAAAGCTTATAATAATAATAATAATAAATCTCAAACTAAGTACGTGACCGAATACATAAACCTATACTCAATTTGTGATGAACAACATAAGATTTATCCGAATAATGCTTGTACACGCATATCTTATGGTTAATTATTTTCTTTTCAAATAATTTCTTGTTTGTTTTTCTCGATTCTAGTTGTTTGCTCCATTCAACATTGTAACAGTTATTGTTCGTTTAGAAATTTGGGAACAGGATCGTGTTAGTTTAAAAGTTGAAGAACATCATCTGCTCACTGCATTAGCTCAATTTAAACGAATGTATGCTAATGTGCGTCATGATTGCTTGCATGCTCTATTGTAAGTTAGTATTCTAACATTTAGTTGTGTTTTTGTTACTGTTTCATATGGTGACCAATGCAATGATTATTAAATATTTATGTAAAATATCAGTTAGTCAGCCAATCAATCAATAGGCAATGTAGAACCTGACACGTATGTACTTCAGTTCAAGTTTCCATCACTTTGTCATAATAACTAGATGAAATTATCATGACCAATTCCAGAGTAGGTGAATTAGTTATGTAGTGTATGCTACTTGTGTCGACAGACATAAGTGTGGAAAATTTACAAGTGAAGTATTTTATATATGGTTCTTACATTCTACCGGGATATTCTGTAATTTTGTAATAAAATCCATTGGTTGTGTTCTCGTTCATTACAGTTACAATATCACTAGTAGTAAAAGAGACTAAGTATTTACAATACAGTGTTAGAAAGAAGAGTGGATTTGTTTAATAAAACAAATATAAAATGGTTTCAAAGCTCGAAATCTAAGAGAAAACTACTAATTCATACATCTAAGTCATTGTGACAGATTCTCAGTCATCTCACACGAAAATCTCCAATAATTAGTTAAAATTATCGCTCGAATTACTTGAAGCTCATACATTCACCAGGATCTGTAACGTCTTTTTTTATTCTTAGCATTGAATAAATCTGAACGGGAAATTCCACCCTAAGCTAAAAAAACTTTGACCATATCTGTTAGTCATTGAAAACTAGTTTTGCACATTTGGTTGCCTCAATATTGCCTTAAGTCACAAGCATTATAAATAAACATGGATGGTGGCTAGCAGCGGGATCCAGGATGCGTGTTTCATCCCACTTGGGGCTCGTCAGCTGGATGTACCTGCATCCCCATTACACAAGCAATTGGTTGTCAGGACTTGGTAGCTAAGTGGATAAAGCGATGGCGTTTGAAGCGGACGGTTCTGGGTTCGAGTCCAGGAGTGAACATCAACTTTGGGATGCAGGTACATCCATCTGACGAGCCCCAGGTAAGACGAGACGCGCATCCTGGATTCCACCACTAACTACTATCCATCTTTGCTTATAGTTTTATACAGATCAATCTGATGTATTGATAAATAGTAGTTACTACTGTGACATGATTAATTCTAATATCCAAATGGTAATGTAATGTTTCATCACATGTATGCGTAATTTTATCAACCAATTTATATGTGAATATTTTTGTTCATTAAAGCTTTATCTGTACAGATGAGTCATCTCAGTAGTGTGTTATCAGTAACACTTATTATTATTATTATTATTATTATTATTCGAAATTTTAGCATTTATTTCTAAAAATCCAATCATACTTATATATATCTATCTGAAATGAACTATTTTATTGCAAGACAGACTAAACAACAAACACTACAGCACATTATTATTATTGTTGCTAATTATAAGTACCTGTAAAAAAAAATACTTCTATTCAACTCGTTTAATCAGTAGATAATGTCTAGAATAAAAAATGTAAACTTTGACGTACTATTTTATGACATCAAATAGGACTTCCGATTTCTTGCACCATAGTTAATGACTTGTGTTTCAAACTGACATTACAATAGTTGAACGTCGATTACACTCTCAAACCACTTGACCATTATGTCGTATTATTCAAATAATTATAACGTGATAATACTTTTAAACTAACCACTCATTTTGATAAGCTTTTCAAAATCCCATACGACTTGATATTAGTAAAAATGATAAGGTTTAAATACTTCCGTGAAAATTATTCATTTAACAGATGTCTCTAAGTTATACATTCCTTAAATATGCTTTCTAGACTGAATACAAAATTTCTGTTATGTCCTATGGCCTATGGCCCTGTCAATTATCACGTGATGAAACTTCCAATCAGTATACCGATTTATATGACCTTGTCTCTGTGCTAAATCAATGACACGTCAACCAGCACTAGCAGTCTTGCGTCAACTCTGAATCCTTATTGATCCTCTGTATTAGTAACTTCTTGCCTAGCCTAGCCCGCTCAGTCCAGAACACAAATATCAGCCTCCGCTGTGTGAATCGTATATTTCAATTACGCGAAGTAAATATGCAAGCAGGCCAGACTGCATCACACCATAAAATGAAGAATAGTTATACTAGATCAAATTAAAAGTGTCTGAGTGTGAGTGACTGTAACTAATGGTAAACCGTCTAATAGTAGCCAATAAGTCAAATAAAAGTTTATAACAAGAGGTATATATATAGAATGACAATCCATAAATAGGTTTTAGAAATTATCCCTGCTTCGGTCTGGGCACCCGGGCAGTATCACAGCCCACACGCAAATGATGGACTCTCTGTATCTATGGAAACTACTTTTCTCGCTTCGAAAAACAGTCAAATGATTCAAAGTATTGTCATTACTATTATTGTCATTATTATTATTATTATTATTATTATTATTATTATTATTTACCACATTATTCACCCTCTTTTATACTTATACAGCGGCTCGTCTTTGGTGGAAATTCGACTGTATCTAAACGTTCTCGAGTCACTGTCCGGTTGAAAATTGTATGTTTCCACTGTATATGAGTACTGAAGCAGTTTTTCTGAAACCACGTGCACCATTCAAACTGGCTGCCTTCAACGTTCGCACACTTATGCAGGTTGGACAACAGATAGGGCTGGTTATGTCTTTAGAAAGTCTTAATATTGATGTTTGCTGTCTATCCGAGACCCGTATTCGAGACTCTGGCGAAGTACTACAAATTCGATCTCCATCTGTCGCTTCGAAAAGCTTGTTTCACGTGCGCTTATCCGGGGACCCTGTGGCATCTTCGTCTGGTTTTGCTGGCGTTGGTGTCGCACTAAGCGCCAGAGCTGAGGCAGCACTAATCGATTGGATCCTCATTAACAGTCGGTTATGTGCTGTTAGATTAGAAAGTTCCATCAAAGTGAGGAGAAATCGGCGTCAGAAACGATGTCTTTTCCTCATCTCCGCCTATGCCGCGACAGATTGCAGCCCGGATGCAATCAAGGATGAATTCTACCACCAGTTATCTGTTCTTCTCCAGAAGTGCGTTCGACAGATATTGTATTACTAGCCGGAGACTTGAATGCTCAGGTCGGGCGTCTAGGCACAGAAGAGGGTCGTTTAGGTGGCCGATGGGGACTCGTTGGTCGCAGGACAGATAACGGGAGCCGTCTACTGCAACTATGCACAGACCACAACCTGTTTCTGGCTAGCACTAACTTTCGGCACAGTCATCGCCGATGTGCCACCTGGCGTCCTCCCTCTGCATCTCAAGCCTTGACTCAGATTGATCAAATCGCGATCAGCTACCGCTGGCGTGGTTGTGTACAAGACTACCGCTCCTTTTGGAGTACCTATCTGGACTCTGATCATGCCCTTGTCTGCGCCAGTCTTACCTTACTTTTCAGTGGAGAACGAAGTGACCGCCACCAACGGATTGATGTCAGCAAGTTGGTTGCAAGTAGGTATCGAACCGAGCTAGGTTCTAGGCTAGCTACTATTCCACCGAAAAGTATAGATGAGCATCGGTTGCAATTGCATGACGCCATGAAAATGGCGGGTACAGTCAGTTGTGGGTTTGCGAAACGTCTCGCTTATAAGCACTGAGTTTCTTCAGGCTACTTACAAGTTATCGAAGCCCGTCGGTCTACTCCGGGTGACCGTGAGTTTGACCATAAACGAGGTATGTTACGCAATGAAATCGGGCAAAGCTTGCGTAAGGACCAAGAAGCCTGGTGGTCGGAGCGTGCTAATGAGCTGGAGGCAACAGCTGCATCTGGTAATTACCGGAAGCTCTTGCAACTCATCTGAGCCACTGGCAACAAGAAGTCTGGTATGAGCGAAACAATGTGTGAGGATGATAGGATGCCAATCACTAACATCCATCGACGCCTTAGACGATGGGCAGAATTTTTCGAAGGGCAGTTCAACTGGCCTGCTGCTCCGGCAACATCGGTCGGACTGTCCTGCCCTCCATGGCCGGTGACGACTGACCCACCAAACGAGGAGGAAGTCTGCAAGGAACTCCAACTCTTGAAGCGCTGCAAATCTCCGGGCCCAGATGACTTACCTCCGGCTCTTTTTAAAGATGGTGGTGACTTTCTGACTAAGGAACTGATGACGTTGTTTAAAAAATTCTGGGAACTAGAGAGTGTACCAACGTCATGGAATGAGTCGATAGTTGTCCCTATCTTTAAAAAGCGCTCACGTCGTTCCTGTAACAACTATCGAGGGATAAGTCTACTTCCGATTGCGTCCAAGCTATTGGCTTCCGTCATTCTTCGTAGGTTGTTCAAAACCCTAGAAAGATTGACTCGCGAGGAGTAGGCTGGGTTTCGTTCTGGTCGAGGATGTATTGATCATATCTTCACCCTCCGCCAAATGTTAGAACACCGCTATACTTATCAAAGGCCAACAATCGTAGTGTTTCTTGACATCAGTGCTGCCTTCGATTCGTTGGATAGGACTGTTTTCTGGGATTGTCTATTGAAGAAGGGTGTGCCTGAGAAGTTTATTAACATCCTGAAAGCCCTATATACAAACACCTCAGGCAGAGTGAGGGGATACAACCACCTTTCTCCATTGTTCTATTCGAGCAGTGGGGTTAGGCAGGGTTGCCAAATCTCACCATTCCTCTTCAACTTTGCTATCGATGACATTCTGGAAACAGCTCTGATGGATGTTAGTAATGGTGGTGTAGATCTGTTGCCTGGAGAAAGACTTCTCGACCTTGAGTATGCGGACGATATTGTCTTACTGTGAGGTAATGCCCAAGCCATGCAATCCGCACTTAATCAGTTGGCAATCAGTATCCGTAGGTATGGTATGTGCTTTGCACCTTCGAAATGCAAAGTACTTCAACAAGACTGGCAGGATCCTAATACTGTACTCACCCTGGATGGTGAGCAGATAGACGTAGTCGAGAAGTTCGTGTATCTAGGTAGCTGCATAAGTGCTGGTGGTGGCGTGAGTGATGAGATCAATCCACGTATAGTGAAAGCCAGAGCAGCTTATGCCAATCTAGGTCATCTTTGACGCCTTCGTGATGTTATGTTGGCTGTCTACAATACGTCGGTGAGAGCAGTTTTGTTCTATGCTTGTAAAACCTGGCCTCTCCGAGTTGAGGATGTTAGACGACTCTCTGTGTTTGGTCATCGTTGTCTGAGAAGGATTGCTGACATCCAGTGGCAACACCATGTCAGTAATGCAGAGGTTCGGCATCGTGTGTTCGGGCACAGAGACGATAATGCAATTGGTGTCACCACCTTGAAACACCGACTTCGGTAGCCTGGACATGTTCTCCGAATGTCGTCCCAGAGAATTCCACGTCGTGCATTATTTGCCGACTCTGGGACTGGTTGGGAGAAGCGGAGAGCTGGTCTGTGCATGACATGGTGTCGTGGCATGAAAGAAAGCTGCAAAGGACTGGCTTGTGTTGGTCCTTCACGACTCCCTGGTTGAGGTTCTAGAGATGGTGCTACACAGTGGCTAGAGACGTTATCAGATATGGCTCAGAATAGAAGCCAGTGGCGATCCTGCTGTAACCTTCTTTTACTTTCTTCATAAAAAGTGTTGTGTCTTCCTTACCTGAAAGATTTCTTCCGATTGTACCTTTCCGTTCCCTCATTACTACCACACTACCTCACACCAATCTCTTCGTTATTGTTCTCCTTTTTTGCGCTCCTTAGTTTCTTTTTCTATTTCTCTTCGAATTCTCATTGTTTTGTGTGGCGCGTATATATTGGCGTTCTCTTGTTCCAATATTTATGTGTTCAAATAATAAATAAATTTAGAAATTATCCATAATTTAATCTTATTCAGATACAATGTCAGTCATCAAACCCTCCTTATTTAAATAATACAAATTCGTCTCAACTAATCAGTTCTTTTTTAGTGAATGATGAGAATCAATATTCAATCTAATTAACATCACACATTACTGGTTAAACAAATAACCATTTGACCTTATTACAACTTAAAATACAATTGTTATTGATTATTGAACAAAATAAACACACGTTCATACCTGTTTCATTCAGCCTAAATAAGTGTAGATAAAGTTTGCCGAAGTGAATATGTGTCATTAAGATGCTAATGAAACTATCGTCTAATGCTATTATCATTATTATTACTACTAATACTAAATCCCATTATGGTAATAGTGTAGTGGACGCTACTCACAAGACTGTCTGTAAGTATTGTGTAGCGGAACAGAACGTCGAAGTTGTTATAATTATCAGATGAAGTGAAGAGTTTCGGAGCGGCGAAAGCATGGCGTTGGCAGAACACTTGAAGACCAGATGAGAAGACATAACACATAAGAGAACACACTGAATGATGCAAATTTATAATGTATTAATTAAATACTTTGTAACTTCTTACAATAAGTATATTCTTCGTGTCCATTGTCGTGTAGTACAATAGTAATTAATGCCTAAACGATAATGACTACAACCACTTTGCATAACTTCAACGTACGAGGAGTTTTATCTATTGATTAATTAGAAACCGCCCAAACTAATGTGTCATCTATGACACATGTTGTTGTTATATCTCTTTACAATCTAATAGTATAAATACGAGTTAACTTATTTGTTTAAACTTTGACGTGAATTCACATTTTTCCTTTAAAAATCTTTTCATTTCTGGTTTCTTCTTTTCCTTATACAAACAAAAAATGACCTGACAACATAGAGGTACAAAAGAACAAGGCTCACGAACACGTGGAAAAGCTAATCATATGACCATGTGTATTTATTCGCGTTGTGTTGGTTACAGTAGAGTAAGTTTGGACAAAATTTTTCATTATTCTTCTAATAATTGTTTAATTAATGATTAATTAACTGAGTAATTCTCTGAATTTTCAGTTCATCAGTTGGTTATCATATTAGTCATGTTTGCTGACTGAGTCATATAATGTACTGGTATTTGCTGCTGTTATTAGACATGATGATCTATCGTGATGCATTCAATTGATTAACAAGTTCACTAATCCTTACAACTAGGTTATTTTATGTCCTCGACCTTCTTTCAATGACTCATTCTCATCATATGGTCTGTAGTATTTATATGTATGTCTTTGAACATTTTGTAATTTGAATCACACGAAATGATCATAGTTAGACAACCCTTGAAAATGAGGAAATATTGAAAAGTTGTTTCGTCTTAGTACGAGACTCTTCAGCAATGAGTATTTAAAATCCCACTAAAGAGCTTCTTGATTTTCAACGGGTCGCTAGAGAATGTAGATGCATAATGTAGACTGCGAAATTCCAAAATCTTTTTAGACCAATTACATTATAATATAAACTTATCAAAACCACTAAAATTGCCTTTATTTATTACCTTACTTTTTCAAGGAGATTTTATGCAGCTTAGAGATAATGTTCTCATTATAAAAAGAATGAAGCTGTTTTAGTTTACTTTGGTAAAGCTCACAATCTTATAAGAGATTGTACCCATAATTTTTTAGTCTCTCAACCATCGCAATACTTCTAAAGAAGAGTTAACTAACCGATTTCATAGTTAATTAACTACTGCCCCACTTTATTTCTTCACAGTTTACAGCTTCTTATTAGAACCTTGAAAGTTCCATCATGATAATACGTTTGCAAAACAAAAAATAACTGACAATTGTGTTGATTGTGACCAAAAGTAAATAAATAAAATATTTTATCTAGAAATAAAAATATGGATATTTTATCTACTTATTTTTCGTTGTTGTTGTATGTATTTATTTAGGTATCACCAACACTTGATATTATTGAAACAGCTCGCACTATCGCACATGAACTTGGACATAATTTCGGTTTAAGACATGATACTGAAGAATGTGAATGTCAAGGTTGTATAATGGCTACTGGTGTAGAGTAAGTACTATTCATTGGTGAATTATATTTGTCTATTTTTGATTAATAAATTGCACTTGAAGTTCCTCCACTTGACAGCTGTTGTCGGTTGTTGAAAACTTCGTCTGATATGGCTCAAAAATCGCTAGCGGTAGAACAGATGCCATTCAGCCCTTGTCTTTCTTTCCATTTCGAATTCCAGTATCCCATCATACATACTTTTCACCATGTCTTTTCAAGTCATATTCTCAAGGCTTATCTTTCATTTTATCATTGCTACTACATTATTTCCATCAATTTTGTTGTTTTTGTCTCGTCGTGCCCATGTCTGTTTGTCAGCGTCGATGTTCATATTGTAACTTGAAACCACTACTTACGTCTGCAAACATCAACGCGTTATCCACTAGGCTACTGAGTCTACTAACTGGTTCGTTGGGTATGAATTTATATGTAAGAGTGCGTAATGTCTCGTTTTTAATATACAAAACAGTTTGTGACTATCTGGGCTCAGTAGCCTAACCGATAACGTTTGATAAACGAAAGCAATAGTACTGAGTTATCAAACAACCCATATGACAATGTAGAAATTAGTTAATGGAAGTCCTGAATATAAACAATAGGAAATTACACAACCTTACTACTTGAAAGATTCCCAAGTCAACAATTCAAAGTGTCAACACTATGCTGATCGTTGTCACTGTCTTTCGTATTATTGTCTCAGAAAACTTTTTCGTTGATTTTTTTCTTTGATAAGTTAATTTACAGGAATTAAAAATCAGTATTTTGACATAATTATAAACTGTCAACTTTTCTTAATAACGTGTTTTGTTTACAGATTTGCGTTTTATTTACATTGCGCTATTTCTTGTCAAGATCACAGACATACTTGTTTTCATATTGTATTTGATTTCCTCCTTAATGTCCATCGACTTATTTGGTTGTTCGAATGAATAACTGTCTTATTAGACAACTTAGTATATCTTAGGTTTTTATACCACCACAAAAATATCGTCCCTTCTTGTTATCTTCAGAGAAAAAGAAAGAAATTTCTTATAGACCCTTACTTATGCATGTGTGTGCTTTCCAAATTCACTATTAGCATGCCCACATATGAAGTCTAAATATGAATGCCTAAATGATGGTTGGTTGTAATTGTTTACCTATTATGACGCTCTTAAGTCATAATAATCATATTTTCACAAACATGTAAGTATCACGTGGTTTCCAAGGTTACTTTTTCTGACAACAATGTCCATGATTATGATCATGATAGAGAGACTACAAACATTCTTTGTATTGGCTAAGTTCGGTTTATGTTTTTGGTGAAATAAATAACGCTAAAGGTGTTATTTGCTTCGATTTGATAGTTCCTTTGTGAAGTATATCGACTCATTATTAGTTCATTTTGATCATTTGCTAGATAGAGACACTTTCGAGGATATATTCTTTTTATCATGGACTGATATCCATTGTAATATATCTGAAAATAAACGAACATTAGGCCGATATATTATTCAAGAGTAGGAATTTAGAGGTATTTATTGAAACTAAGAACACAACCACCAGTAGTCATTACACTCATCCTGAAGTTGCTTTTTGTTGTTCGTTATGAACAAATTGTTAATAGTTTCCACTTCGAGATCCACTTGACAATATGTAAATATATGGTTATGGAGATTGTTCAGTTTCAAAGAAACCTTGAGTCGATCAATATTACATTACCATTGAAAATCCAGAAACACCGGATTGCCGCTTCGTCCTGGTATAGGATTCCTCAGTAGTTCACATTTACTTCCCACTCAAGAATCGAACATTAATTGGCTCATTATTTCATTGTAACTCAACAGTCAACAGTCTGCAAAACCCTATACCTCTAAAATCAATTTCTGATTGATTCAATCATGAATTTATATACCTAAGCTTGGATTATAGAAATCATACGAAGTTGTGTAAGATATCACAATTGAATATCGTATCCATTTGAATTTTCTGAAAAATTGATTATAATAGAGGCAAAGGATTTTAAATAAATGATCTCGCAGATAAATGAATGAATATTGCACCTGATACGTCTTCTGATTGAACGCTACTTGTTATCTCTGGTCGTCGCTGATTATTACGTCGGAATCACCTATTACGACGCGAAAGTTAAAACAAGAAGACTGGTACAAATGAATTTTTTTAGCCCCAAACGCGACGACGACCCTAGTCGAAAATACACTAATCTATATATTGGTTTGTACACCCATTTCGATTAATAATTAGGATGAAATCACATATATGAAAAATACTCATTGTTATAACAAATCATGTGCTATATGTCATGCCGATTCATAGTTCATGTCAATTTTTATTGCAAGAATGTCGTATGTTATACAGAATGAAATGTCATACGGGAAAACAGAAACAAATACTACACTGAGTAATCTTCATATTTAATTAAAACGGAAGTAACGTTGAACAAAAATCATAATGAGTAAAAGAATGTAATTTTGACTTTTGATCCGGTTATATCATGACCTATTCTGTACTTATCTATCATCTACTTTTGTTCACATTTATGGAATTACGCAACGTCTTGTATTAAGTTGTATGTTACTATTGTTACTACAGTAATCGATTTTTCAGAAAATGTCATTTAAATATGACATTCATTATTGTTACACTGTATCCGGTCATTGTAATTTTTATTGGGTTGTTATAGTTTTGCTAAAACCCTACCGATACATATTTACGTTGACTTGTGATTGGCTTCATTTTTACAAATTCTATTTGTAATACATATTTTTATATATGTGACAGGCTGCTAGTAGTTGATAATCACCCAAATCTAAGTTTACCGATTGAAATCTACATCTTAAACGTGTCCAAAATTAGGACCTTGATGGAAATGTCGAATGAAATTATCTATGTCGATTTGCTTATTTTAATTCATTTCACCCTAAGTTTACTACCACTGATCATGATTTTCACGCTATCCTCAACAATCCAATGTTTATCTGCCATTACAGCTCAGATTAACAGTCACCGACTTCATCGATTGATTCCATTTCCCAGTTAAACTGCCTTCTTCGTTCTTTACATGTACCCCTACAATAATCCGTAATAGACGTCGAGGTAGGCAGTGGCCAGCTATATGTTACTCATATTCCCTCCAACTTCACCGACGGTAATGCAAGGTCTCAACAACGCATTCTCCACCTCTACCTAGAACATTATGTCCAAACATAGTGTGAATCTCTCATGTACTCAGTTACAGCCACTCCACTCCTGAATCTGTTGTTTACATTTTTTTCCCATCAGACTGGATTACGTAAAAATAAATCTCTCCAATTTATGATATCACTCAACATTATTATTGTTTTTTTCGCTTCTCACCTCAAAGATTTGGCACAACAGTTATGAAATGGTCACCATGTTCTATAAGAGATTTACCAGGTCTATTAAACCATGGAATGGGTGTTTGTTTACATGATTTGCCTGCTAGTGGGAGTGTAACAATTAATTCTTTCGTACCAAACTCTAAAACATCTACACATAGAAAGAATAACAATAATGATAATAACAATATAAGTATTCCAAGTGTTGTACATATTTATGATTGGCAAAGTGAAGCGAAACGAATTCCAGTTAGTCGTGTATTAACTATAAGACAACGTCATTCTGCCTCATCTGTTGAGAAATATTCAAATGGATTATGTGGAAATGGGGTGTTGGATCCTGGTGAAGAATGTGATTGCGGTACACAGTAAGTATATATATATATATATATATATATATATATATATATATATATATATATATATATATATATATATGTTATTGTTCTTTTCATTTCGTAAAAAATTATCTATATTGTTATTTAATGCAGATACATTAATCAGTCTTAATAAAGGTAAAACTTGGCACATATATTCACATGTTCAATTCGTCACATCGAATCAGCATAGCGAGTTGAGTTTCTAAAAGAGTTAATTCACGCACACTCCAATCAAGGTAGTCTTAAAGTACCAGCATAACTCAGCTTAGCCATCACTGACTTTACGGAGTGATACCAAGTCTTGATATGGCCTCCCCTAACTTTCTTTGGACCTACTTCTACACCATCAAACATTGTTAGTCAAGGTAAACGGTAGTTTGACAATCATTACAGATGTTCTATTCAACTTGGTCAATGAAGATTCACATCCTCATTAACCCAACTTCAACATTGCTCACTTCAGTGGATGCAAATATATCAGTATTAGTTAACAATGCTATTTAATTGTGATAACTTTATTCAGTTAGAATCATACCACTTTTCTTTTTTAGTAAAATATTTTTTGATTCATAAATTGAGTCGTGTAGTGTTTTGTAATTGTACAATGATTGCATGCATTTGTATTCAGACATAACGAACGCTGAGTGTCTGTTTGGATATTTTTTTATTAGATAGTTTGAAAATTGTTTCATAATAGACTGGAAGCTGTTTAACGAAACCTTTAAAAATCAGAAAACATTATATACTTCCTTCATCCCATTTCGAAAGTACCCATCAGCATAGATCTTCCATATTGTATTATATCGAGGCTAAGACTGGTGATTGTGATAGGACTCAATCCCTAAGTTCGAATGCAATGTTCTGCATTTTTTAATTATTGATGTAACATGATCATCATCGATCCTGAACTGATTTACCTCCACAACCCACGTTGTTTCGTTGAATTTTCGGATTGTTTATCTTAAAACAAGTTACTAACGTGCAGTGAATTAAGTAGTGGTAATATCGGTAAATATTCTAGATCTGTAATTCCTCTGATCTCCAAAAAATACTTTTCAGTTTTGTCTTTTATACTATGTACTAGAAATCGAGTGGTTAATTGCATATTTACACCAAATCTTTTCAAGTTAACCAATAATTTCGTCTTTTTAACTTTACACTTTACAAATGGATACTTAAAAGGAATGAAATTCCTTCGCATAGGCCACTATGTGTTTAGCACTTCAAACCATCCAACAACAAATAAATAAGAAGAAACCTGAAGGACTGAATTGTTTTAAACTCTAGTATACTTTAAATGACTCAATAGTTTGATCTGTTCCCCTTTTATCAGAATGGGTTTGTGGAGATTTTAGAAATTTTCACAGATTTAAATCATGAGTCAGTTGAAGCTAGACCACCATTGAAAACCTGGAAGCACTGGACGGCCGTTTCGTCCTAGTATGGGACTCCTCAGCAGTGCGCATCCACGATCCCGCACCACGCGGGGCTCGAACCCAGGACCTACTGGCTTCGCGCGCGAGCACTTAACCATTAGACCACTGAGCTTCCAGGTTTTCAATGGTGGTCTAGCTTCAACTGACTCATGATTTAAATCTGTTCCCCTTTTGTTTATATAAATTGTTCAAATCGATGAACAAGTAGAAACAGTGTAGGAACGTGCATGTCTGTGTATATATTAGCTAAAATATCATCACTCATAATTGGATAGAAAAATAATTTATAATAAATAAATCAAAATAGTAATTCGATTAATTTTAATAATCCATACTGCAAAGGAATGTAGCAATTATTGCTTAGAGTGAACTTCATTGGATTTTATTGTTGGATTATTTATTTATATAGCCTGACAAAACTTCAGACACCAATGAGTAATCCAATGGGAAATGGAATAACTGGCGAGTGTGAAACACATTTCAGCCAACAATTCAATATACTTGATTTATCCACCGATCAATTATTTGGTCTTTTAGTAATGCCTATCATTCGTAGAATAGTCACCATGTATAATCCCTGTAATTATCCGCATTCACTTTTTAACACAACTAATACTAATTTTCCATCAATATCACAGTGAACGGAAAAGACTAACTAAGAACAAAAGATGTGAATTCGTGATATTTAGTGAGTTTTAGAAGTTTTTTATGCACGATACAAATTCCACGAGAAGCCTTTAGCGAAGTTACTTTTCTAAGAGTCATCACCATAGAAACTTGAAATGTTTCGTTACCTAGACGTCAACACTACTAGTCTACAATGTAATGAAACATGTGACATTTTGAAATCGATACACTTTTCTTCTTGTTTGTCTGTCTACCAATCTATCTAAATGATAGTCATAATTGAGTGTTGTCTTTGAAACCACTGACTTTAGTAACAAACAGTTGAAACCAGAGTCCTAACCTATGATGAGCAAGAAAAGAAACGAAAAAGGATAGACAGATAAAAAACAATCGATAGTGGAGAGCGAGATTTGGGACAGAAAATAATTTAACTCACTTATTTGAATTAGTATTGTCTCAATTCCCTTAATTCTTATTTTCGGTTGACATTAAGTAACCGGCCAATATGACTCCCTACTGCCCATTTTTAAAAAATTGTGGGGTGTGAATGAAAAATTTAGGTATCGTTGATTGGTGGACTTGTTTTGCAAGTGTGTGCTCAAGTGATAATGAACAAACATTTTGTCACCTTTAATCATTTTGTAATTGGTCGTAAACTGTTCATCTTTGTGATCTGATTAGCTGAAATTGAAATCATATCTCGAGCTGTGATTGGATGTCCGGATTTTCATTTTTTACATTTGAAATTTAATGATAATGAATAAATCTTTTTGTGTAATCTTAGTCTTAAAAAAACTTAGACTTTTGAAGAAAAAGACACCAACTGAATTGCATTACCGTGCAATTCTACTGTTAGTGAATGTGTATTGGGATAAATGTTTGCTTTTCGATCAAGTATACCTTGAATTGAAGTCGTTAGTTATCTTAACACAAATAATTATATGTATCTCAGTAAAAGAAAGTTTTTGGGAATTAGGTCGGTAGTCTAATGTTGAATACCCAATTAATAAACAAACTATCACGAAAGTGTGTGCATAGGTTTTTTTATAGCACATGGTCTGTTATTCGGAGAAATAAATCAACATATCAATAAATAATCATGATAAATTACTGGTTGCAATATGTATAATTCAGGTTAAGCAACCGAAGACCATAATTTAATGAACTGACTTTGACAGTACATGAAAGTAGTAATAAATTTTCCGAAATAGGCACTTAATATTGAGTGAACGTGTATTTTGTAAATGTTCATTCTTAATGAGAATTAGCAAACGTTAGATTTCAATGCGGTTAATTTTAAAAGTCCATTGAAACGGTTCATTATTTTCACTTGTAAATTATTTGCAGTTCTGTATTTTAAAATTAATTTTTTGGTCGTAATAAAAACTAGTGTGTGTTTAATCAGTCAAGTGTGAATATTGTTCACCGCCGTAATATGAAACCTGAATTATCTAGACATAACGAATGTAACCATTTTTGACAAGCATTTGAAATATCAGTTTCATGAAGTGTAAATGAACAAGCCTACGTCGTCCGACTGACTCAACAAATATCTATCGACTTTAAACGTATAAATATGAATAAGGTCAACTGTATCAATGAACATTTAAAATATTATTATTTATTGTGCTTATGATCATTATTATTATTATTATTATTATTATTATTATTATTATTATTATTATTATTATTATTATTATTATTATTATGTCAATTGACAAGATTCAATTCTCTTATTATGTATTTCATTGACACAAAATTTTTTGTATTTTCAATTTTCCTATAATGCTCTTCCACTTATTGTGACTGAACACTTTACTGCAAATCATCCCGACCTTTATTGAATGACCTTTCTAATTTGCAAATATTACAATTTGTAAGTATAAATATAAATATATATATCGTAACAGATGTAAACGTTCACCATTGTTGACACATTACATTGTCTAATTCATTAATGTCATGCCTTATTTTTGGACTTTATAAAATATAAAAATTATGGGCTTATAACTGTATAGTGTGATGATAAAGTTAATGAAAACGATTGTTCGCTACATTATTTTTTATTTTTGAATATTCTATAAGAATAGTTATATAGCTGTGCAAATGAATACGTTGATATAATCGGTAGTTATGAATAACAATGAAGGCGCAGTTGACGATCAGACGTACTTCTTACGTACGCATAGTTCTGGTTTCAGGAACTTTTAATATAAAACAAGAATATGAAATTCTTGTTTTTTGTATTCATGAAACAGCTAATATTCTTATTTCTTTTTACACTTACTATATGACCTTTAATCACATGAATCATTTCAACGATGATGGTTTCAGCTTAATTTATGTCATTATTTTATTCATAAATAAGTTAATTTTCTTCATTGTGTTTACTTCTCTATGAGCTTGAATCACATTCATCTTCGTAATGATAATCACTAATAAATGTTCTCATAAACTTATTGACCTAACGAGCAAATTATAGTTTTCACTATATTGCAATAATCATATTAAAATGTACTAGAATGTACTATTATTAGATAGTTTACAAAAGTGTTACTAAAACATGAACAGTATTCACAATATTTTAAATATAAAATTACTAGATTAGTCTTCATTAGATGACAAAATCTTGTTTAAGTTTTCTTAACCTTTATATCTAATATACATTAGAAACAAGTTTACGAATAGACGAGCGATAATCGCTTTTCGATTATTAATCTCTAAGGGATATCTAAATTCATGAGACATTAATAAGTGCTTAATCACTTGACCTTTGCCGCGGAAAAGTAGTAGATAAAAAATAATGGAAATCAAATTGTGGGTGGCCCTGAAAAGGGCCTTTACTCGTTCTCGCTGTCGGACGTCGTCACTATTAGTTTGTAATGGCGCCGCAGATAGGACAGTGCACTGCTCGTACACTCGGCGATGGGTCGTAGGCACAGAAGGTATGAAACATTGCTTCACATCTACAGAAAACCCAAGCAACCGCATCACCGGTTTCACACGGAGGCTGCGCAAGATTACAGATGTCGCAGAGTCGATTCTCGTCATCCTCTTCTTCATTTTCGATGTCCCGTTCAGTTAACTCTTCGGAGTTAAAACGCAGGAAGGCAGAAATAAATGTTGACGTTTCGCGACATAAAAAGCCAATGCACATGGGTATTGCCTTAAAATTCATATCCAGGGCAACGACTTGATATAAATGGACGTTCTCGTTATTCGTTTTGTACGTCCCGTCAAAACCAATTACGTCACAAAAGTGACCGGCCAAATTCACTTGCTCAGCAGTCATGAAGAAGAAATACGATAGACAGTTCTCATCGTCCAATTCGTATTCGCAAAGCCCACCCAAGGATGTTATGTGAGCTTTCAATTTCCCGTAATCACCTATAGTGTACATTATAAATTGGCAAATTCCGTACCAGGAAGGTTCGCGTGTGAGAACACTTTGTACCGCATATTGCAGACATCTTGAGCGGTCAGACATTTCCCATAGGATTGGTAAGCAAAATTCTTTATGTGGAATGCAGCGGTACCGGAAATCAGCAGCGGTCTCACAGTTTCAAACTCCCCATCCGTTAACCTGCGCACCCATGAATTACCCTGGTACCTCAGGGAATTGCACTCGTGATTGTGATGTACATTCCCACGTACAACAGTCCAATAGCCGTCTATAATCTTACAAAACATAAATGCTGGACATTGGGTGTTCATAGAAGCCCTTCGTTAAAAAAATTATAAAACAATTTACCAAATTACCTCCTCCGTCTAATACGTTGTGACGAACCGCTAGATCTTATACGCCCATTTCGCCAACATACAAATTTAATGTAGGATTTTTGATCTCTGCCAATATGCGAATCTCTCACTACATAATGACTGTAAGTTGATCTTTCAAAATTCGTGATAGTGGTCTTTAACGCCTCAACCGATGGAAACGCAACCAGAAACAAGGTAGTCAAAAAGACTTCCTCCATTTCCGTGACGTGAGAAACACCAGCGCTTGTACTAGGCACATCACTCTGCTCCATAATGACGATTGAAATTGTGCTTCGTCGACAAGTACGGATAATTTATAACAATTTTCAAGACATAACTAACCAATGAAATCTAATTTTTGAAACTAGCCATTTCATTGGACGAAACACGGGATGAAAAATATTGTAATTTGGGGATGGAAAATTTTTTTTTTTAAAAAAAATGGCCGGTCGGACAATATTATTCCTTATTTTCGCTCGTCACTGTCTACTTCCCAACAATTTCACATTAGAAGCGTTTTTGTGGATTTTATAGTAGTTTCAGTGGTAGAGATCATGAGTCAATTGAAGCTAGACCATCAGTACTTCAGGGCTTCTCAATTTTCCACGGTGGTCTAGCTTCAATTTCCTACATTTCTTTGTTTTTAATAGAATTAATCCTTTTTATAGAAAGAATCCTACCAAGGTTAAGTTTATTACTTATACTAAGTGTTATTGAAAATATCTAACACAAATCCAAGTATCTTAATAATTTAAGGGTTGCAACGTCTTGACAACTCATTAACTTTGTGTTTACAATACATACTATTGATCAAGATTTCAAACAGGTTTTGAACTCAGTCAGCAGCTTAGTAGATAACGAATTGTAGATGGGAGTGATAAGGAATACTATCGAATCTCATTGAGGATATCATCATTAAATTTAATATGCATCAAACTGAGGGGTGCAAAATGTGACAGAACACACGTTCTAGATCCCATTACTAGCCACATTACCGAATATACAGTTATCAGAATACTTTATGAACGTAGTGCAATTTTCTCCAGGTTTGGATAGTTGGTCGTGATGATATTAGTTGTATCATTTGTTTCGACAGAGTGTAAACATCATCCCAATGGCTATCCTTGTGTATGCATATTCTGCTGTATATGTAAGATTAACAGTATAGAAGAAAACAGATAGAGAATGAAAATTCATCATTAATCATAGTCAGATGCTTAATCGTTTTGACTTGTATGTTATTAATGTACTGTCGACATTTGTGTGTGTATTTTTTAAAAATCAAATATTAACCCTGTGTGTGAATTTACCTTCAACAGAATGAATCACCCAACCAATTTTAAAAATAATCTACTTGTATTTCGACAATAATAGGAAGGTAATTTCTTATTGAGGCGATAGGATTAAACCAAAACAATAAACCTTTATCAGTGTACAAGAGTTTGGGAATTCTCTTAGTGAATACATTTTTATATCGGTTTATTTTGTTGCTAGCTCTGTCTATCTATCAATCAAATGTTATTGTTTATAGTCTAGTCGAATCAAGATTATTTTGAAAAATGAAATTAATACCATTCAACTATTTAATATAAAATAAAGATTTAAAGCCTTACCTGTGTATGACATTTGAATTATAGTTATGAATTGGTAGACTTTAGAATAATTTCGTTTTCAAAATAATAATGTTTTCTAAGTTATCCAAGAAACATTATATATGAAAATTATATTTGAAATATTCTCAGCGATTGAAACAGTCTGCTAATAGGAGGGACCCAGTAGAGGTCATGTCATCATGCTATCAATTCGTCAGTGAAACCAATCGTTAATTGTAAATATTACACAAAATCGATTTTAATGCAGTTATCATTATCTTCTGCACATAATAGGGAACAATTATTTTTTTAATATTACCATTGTATAACTTAATTTAAAATATGTAAGAATGTATTTTTTTTTAAAGTAGATCTCTTTCGGAACCTCCATAGGCTTATCCAAACCAAACGCTACTTTTCTAAATACGTGAATTTATTTCACTCCTACTTATTTTTTTGGTTTACTGAATCATGTCATAAAACTAATCACGACAATTATTTTGATTGAAGCCTGTTAATAATTCTTCGTGACTTATGTATACCACTAAAGCTTACTATCCGTCGTCTTTAACAGTTTTTCGATTTGCACTATAGTTACTGGATGAGAATCAGTTATTTCGATTTTCTTCAGTGAAGGCAAATTTATAAATATCTGCCTACGTAGATTATCTGATGAAATCCGGAAATTTATAAAAATCCTCCGGTAAAATAAAGTGTTTGATGTTATTTATCACGGTAAATGACACTTTTAGAAAACCAATAAAATTGTCAGTATAAGCATAATATAATAACTGAACTTTTAAAAAAAATGTCAACTATTATTTTTTAATTGTTAAAGTTTAAGAAATGGTGATAATCTAAAGTTGATCAGTCGGTCATATGAAAAGTGGACAGAGGGTGAATGTTCCCGCGAGTAACTCTTATTCATATATATATATATATATATATATATATATATATATATATATATACAATAGTGAGTTGTATGCAAAATAGATTCCTTCTTCATATGGAGCATCCCATTCATTTCTAATTTCAATACTCACTACCTGATCGGGTCCCAGTATAAAAAGCGTATATATCCCTATGTACTAGAACAACCGCAGAACGTAACGTAGTTGTACCCCAGATGACGTTAATTCATTTTAGCTCACATGCATTATTTCTTCAATATGCATAAATTCATGAAATTAATTTTGTTATTTTACATCAATTTGTATCACTCTTCTTAACTTTCTTAAAATAAACTATACTTTAGAACTTCATGTCCAGAAAAGTGGCAAGCCTGTTGTGACCCAGTACGTTGTCGATTACGTGGTAATTCTCAGTGCGCTGGTGGTCCATGTTGTGATATTATTAAAAAAAATTCCCTGGAAAATGTGAATCAATCAGCATCTTTTTATTGTAAATTAAAATCTTCCGGAACTATCTGTCGTAATGAATCTGGTACTTGTGACTTACCGGAATATTGTGATGGTCGTAGTCAATGGTGCCCAGCCGATGTATACAAAATCGACGGTGAATTATGCTATACCGATGAAGGTCGTCGTGTAAGTGTTATCATCTTGAAAAATTCATTATGTTAAGTATATCCATTCAATTAAAAATTTTTATACGAAGGTTAGTATTTGAGACAGACACAGGCGTCATCAACATACAGTTTATTAATAAAAAAAAGTAGCTAAACTTAAGTTAAATGCACCTTTTAAAAATATTTTATAGACTTTGAAGGATATATACATTTATATTACACAGTCTTGATATCGCGTGATAATGTCATCTTTACCAGGAAACTTAAAGCCCTCTTAAGTTTAATTCAGCGTAATGTCTTAAATGTATATACTGTTGAGGTGTCTTGAACTAGGATGAAAATGCTATGTAATGCATCTTGGTTGTCAGTGGTCATTTTATTAATGCCAGAGTTATAATGAAAATTCATCACGAAGCTATACGAGAACACACTACAAATCTCTTTATTTTAATCTTTTCAATTTCTGTGAAATATAACATTTGCGAAATATGTAGTCTGAAAAAGATATAATTCGTATTTGGCACAATAGAAATTATGAGTGTGAGCGGCGGCCTAATGTCTAGAGCACTCATCTTTTCGGTAATAGGTTCGAGTTTTGTCCCACTCCGGTTTGTTCAACCAGGTAGTATCATTGACCTTCCTATCAAACGATATGATTCAAATCTCTCAATACATAAATTATAACTTGTAAACAAGTTAAATCAATTAGGATGTAAGCTAATGTTCATCAAATAGCTGATAGGTTCCATCCCCTTAAATATTAAGTTTCATATATAACTGTTTATATCATTATTAGAAAGGGTTTGGTTTAGTAACTATCTGGGCAAAGTAGCTTAGTGGATAGCGCATTTTACGCTTGGAGTAAAATGTACTGTATTTAGGAGGCGGTGAAAAAATCAAAACAAATTTAGGCCCATCCGGCTACTAGCCACAATCCATCTATCCTAAATAATAACTGTCTAGTTGTTATCGATCAGATATTAATACTGATTATCTTTTCATAGAGAACTGCTAAATGACATGTACTCATGAGTTGTGTCTGTAAGATATTGAAACTCGGTGTAAGAGGAATAATACCCTAATACACAGTTTTTGTATCGTCTTACGTAATCGTTTGTTAACGGTTTATTGGGTGTTGTGTAACATTGATATTTGTTAAATTCGCACAAGTAGTTATTCAAATTTAACTCACTTTTAAACGTTATCTATTTTGCTTACGGAGAAAACGCATAATCTGAAGGTAACCTTAGACTGAATACTTTCTTGAAACCGCAAATATTCAGGCGGTTGTTTTGTTCTAGTTTTATATCAATTTAGATGTGACCGAATCCAAATATTTTTATCATGTTATGGATAACAGGTTATCATTTTGTTACTGACTATGCTTGTCTTTTTTTTAGTTATTCCCTATCTTATGCTATCGATTTTTATCTGTAGTTATTTTCGTATTTAAGTGACTTCTCTGATCACTCCTTTCTATGATTGAAGTCGGTTATTAATGAGCAGTAGTGATTGGTTATTCTAGTAGTCGATTTTATTTTGCTAGGTAGTTGATTAGTTTAATTACATACGTTTTATAATGAACTAATATCATAGTAAACATTCGAAAAGTAATGCTTTTTAAATTTTAGAACTGGTGTTACTGACTAGTCTTATTTCAACAATCACTGACTTCAAGAGATAATCCTGGAGTTCTAGTGAGAAGCCGTTACCAGTGGAGTTCAACCAGCTCTGTGGTGAGATATCAACTCAATGAACACAATGGTGTGCAGTGGTGCGATTTCGTGGATTGGTTGAAGTTAGACATTAACACCGTTGGATACCGGCTCAGTGGTTTAGTTGGTTAAGCGCCTGGCGCGTGACTTATAGGTCTTGGGTTCGAATCTCGCGGAGGGCGGGATCGTGGATGCACACTGTCGAGTAGTCCCATACTAGGACGAAACGGCTGTACAGTGCTTCCAGGTTTTCCATGGTGGTCTAGCTTCTACTGACTCATGATTTCAACCAGTGAAATCATTGGAAACCAGGATGAACTGGACAGTCTCTTCATCCTAGTATGGATCCCATTAATGGTGGGTGTCAACGACACTATCGGGGATTGAACTCTGGACCTTTAAGTCTCATAATGAGCACTTAAGTAACCTTTGGACCATTTGGGTAGCGTCTTAATGGTTTATGCTTTTGACTTTAGTCAACTTGTGATATTGCACAACTATATTTTCAATACTGTCTCACTCGTCAACATGGCTGAACTCCACTGGTTCCAACTTCTCACTAGAATTCTAGGAATTACCTTTGGAAATTAGTAAGTTATGTGAACGTGATTATTTTTCACACAATGAGTTTGTTAAGGTTATATTGTTGACTTCATTTATGTATTACACAAACTCTGGTGGTCTACAACATTTGCATCATTACACAAAATCCTTAAAAATAAATTTTTAGTTAGTGAAATCCCTTGTCACTTAGAATTTTTTGATTGAGATCTTGAACCAATTGATGTTAGACCATCAAAATTGAAAACCTGGAAGCACTGGACGGCCGTTTCGTCCTATTGTGGGACTCCTCAGCAGTGCGCATCCACGATCCCGCGAATTTTGTCAGTAAACCGATAAATTCTAAAAATATAGTGAACAATTCAATATATTTAAATAAATGAATTGCTGTTTTGTCCTGTGACAATCACTGTATGTTGTATGCACGTGAAACATTGTAAACCTGTATCAACAAACACGTACACACACGCACTTAATAGTCAACGAGATTGTACGAAAAGTGCGTGATATGATGAACATGGAAAAGAAATAGGGGTTTCCACTTCCTCTCTCTATATATATCTACCTATTTCATTATCTACTCTTTTCTTCACTAGTTGTTTACTAATGTTTATTATATATCTAATTGTATGGATAAATAAATGCATCGACTGTTTTTCCAAAATGTTTATTGTCTTTTATTCTGGATAGATTTAAATAGATTGTTAGTCGTTAATGAAAATGATTACTCTGACTATCATATTACTTAATTAATGGCATGTAAAACTTGTCATGCTGTCGTACTTTAATTTTATGACTGATTTTAAATACAAGAAATTATTTCAAACAATATACATATTACTAGGTAATAATTGACATAGTTTAGTGTGAGAAAAAATCAACATTTCAACTAAGTAACTACTACAACATGGTGTCAAGTTCATTTGCGCTAATCATTAAATTTATTGTATTTAATGTTCCCGTAAAGATATGAAATATATAAGTTAAGTTTTTGATTGAGATCATGAATCGATCGATGTTAGACCGCCGTTGAAAACCTGGAAGCACTGGACGGCTGTTTCAGTGGTGATTCATGATGTCAATCAAAAACTTAATCTCTACAATCCCATACTGATATAAGTTAACTGTCAAGTTAACCATCCAGCGCTTCCAGGTTTTTCGATTTTGATCTAGCTGAAATCATTTCGTAAGTTTTAATATTATTGGAACATTACAATGTCCACAAATCCCCTAAACTAATAATAATCATATGCTCACTAGCGATTAGATTCAAGATGTAACTTATGGAGTTCTAGTGAGATGTCATGATCTATGGAGGTAATGCATGAAGAGTTCCTCGTTATGTCTCTACACCGGTTAACATATAATTTTTTCTTAAATTAAGCATAAAATTTATTCCAAATAAATAGTGATAAATCAACATAACAATATTTATTGAAATAACTCAATTTATTATTATTGAGTGAAAATAACGAGAATAAAACAGATTTCTTTTTGTTTTATGAAGTCATTTAATGAAGCTATACATTTGTATTTATAATTGCTCAATAAATATATGCGTTTATAGAAGAATAGAAGATTATGTCATAAAGTGTTGAAAAGAAGATAGTGTAATAATCAAAAGGTTAGAGAAGAATAGGAAGATAAAAATAATTCACAAGTCAGAAATTTGAGAGATAATTGTTCACTTAATAAATATTAAAGAAAAATGAAAGGTCATGATAACAATTGAATACTAGTTATGAAAATTTGTTAGAGGGAAAAAAGTACAAAATAGTAATAAAAACATAACCAAAACATTCTGGAAAAGAGAATTTGGGCTATGGAAAGATTAGGTTGGATGTATTGCTTTTACACTAAGAGGTCAAGCCTGAATTAGTGGATGGCCAACTTCTCAGTAGTGCATAAATTTTTTATTCGATCTCACTTTGATTTCATCTCTTCGACCATGTAGATTATTCTGAAGGACGATTTGTTTTAGGCCATGTGCTCAGAGTTGATAAGGTGCTCCTGTATAGAGCTTCTGATTGTTTTGCATTCTGTCAACCCTGCCATAACAATATATACCTCAGGGTTTCTATGTCCCGGCTTAATTTGACTAACAGAAGAGTACGGTATATGTGAGTGATGTTTGTATTAGAAGTCCAAACCAGAAACTGTTCCTGTAGAAAGTATTGTGATACATTTAATTAATAAGCGAAAGTTTTATGCACCAGTCTTTGAAGTATACTTACTATCTAAGGGTCGGAGATATCATTGAACCCCTCCTACTAAAGCGTATGGGTTTCGTTTTGAGCTTGGATCCTAGTAGCGAATAGGACAAGTAAGTACACATACCACTAGCATTATTATTGTCCTTGAACAGTGAGCTACAATTACACCAAGGTGCCGCGTGTATACGCTATGTATTTTGGTATTGACACATAAAAAAGTCATTTGTTCCTTTTTTATTCACTCACCTCAGTCTCATAAGAACCAAGGACAAAATAGTTGAAACACCTACCATTCACTGATTAGTCATAATACAAAAAGGTACTGTACTCGTAAAATATCTTACTAAATATTACCTGAGGTAAGCCACTAAATGCGAAAATTATATCTGAAATAATACCGGCGATTAAATTTAAGTGATTCTAATGTTTCGTCCAACAAACTTGTTTTCGCTTCTTCAGCGTACTAATCAAGATCGTTGGACCCTTCTTCTATCCAATCTGTTTATTTTACATCCATTGCTATTCTGACA